AGGAGCCTAACTTACCCAGACTGAATCTTCCTAGCCATGGCCAGACCCTTTCGCAAATCTTCGGTGAAGACCGCTGCAGACAACCCATACCCGCTGCTATTCGCAATCCGGATGGCTTCGTCGTCGCTTTCAACAATCATGCATGCTGCCAAAGAGGCGAACGCTTCCTCCTGCCATACGGTCATATCTTCCTTGACCCCACCTAGGAGGACGGGTGGCATGCGGACTCCTGAGTCGAGTTGCGCTGCGTCAGATTCTGCAGCTACGGATCCGTGGATTACATGGGCCCCAGCCTCAATGGCTCCCTCGATCAGGCGCTGAACGCGTTCCTTGGACGCAACATTTACTAGAGTTGGAGGCTGAGACGAGGGGTCGGACATTGATTGGAGGGCGTCTTTCAAAGCGTCAACGAAAGCACGCGCAATTGATGAGTGCACAAGAATTCGATCTGTAGCCATGCAGATTTGGCCCGACTGCGATGTGTTAGTTCGACATCCTGGCCGAGATTTTGGGTCGCTCATACATTCAAATAGGCTCCGCCTACTACAGACTTGACGGCGGTTTCGATATTCGCATCCGCACACACAATTGAGCTGTTCTTTCCGCCTAGTTCCATTAGGCAAGGCTTGAGGTTCTGCCCACAAGCCCGGGCAATCTTTCGGCCTACAGCCGTGCTTCCAGTGAAGTTGATCTTCTTCACGGCTGGGTGTTCGATCATAGCGTTAACCACCTCGGCCGCATCCTGAGGTCGGCACGCCACTAAATTAAGGCATCCATCTGGCAGGCCGGCGTCCTGGAAGGCACGGGTTAGTGCCCAGTAACAACATGGTGTGAGCTCTGATGACTTTAAGATTGTTGTATTGCCGGCAGCAAGGGCGCAGGCAGCGGATCTAACGCCGAATACGTATGGTGCGTTCCTACATGGTCAGTCCACATCTCAATACCTCTAAGACTTAGTGAGAAAATACCATGGTACAATGCCCAAGATAACCCCCATGGCTTCTTTATAGATAATTGCGCTCTGTCCCTCCTCCTCTACAACAGGTACACTTCCGCAAATCGAAGTGATGCGGCTAGCGACCTCCCTCAGCATGCGAATTGCCAGGGGAACAACGAAAAACTGCGAGGCGCCTGCATCTGCACCCATTTCTGTTCGCATGAATTCAGCATTCTTCTCGAGCCTACTGTCGAGAAGATCTGCAGCCCTAAGCAAAATATCTCGTCGGACAACCGGCTTGGTTTGCGACCATGCTGGAAAAGCAGCCTCAGCAGCTTCAACTGCGCGAACAGCGTCTTGAGGAGAGGCAGAGGCCGCCGCCCAGCAGATGCTGTTTGTGTAGGGACTAATCACGTCAAACGTTGAGGAAGTAGGTTCTTCCTTCCCATTGATAACCAAGGGAATCACCGAAGGGGGATTTGGTGCTGCCATGATGAGCGGGACTGAAGTCTAAAACCGTTTGATAAGATTGATAAGCCGACGAGGTCAAAGGATTTGCGATATACGAGCAGCAGAATAATATGCACTTGGCGTTTCTATGCAATCACGACTTGGTCCAAGGTGATGACAATACGAACGGCTATGGATTCGTATCCGCGGCGCTCTCCTGACCCTCTGTCTCTCCCGGAATCCCGAGCAATATGTGCTGCAATTATTACTTAGCTCTCCTATTATCACCCCATAAGCGAAATAGGGGACGCAGGAACGTGGAGCTGGCTCGGGTCAATTCTGTGGGAGCACTCGGCAGGTTGCAACAATAGTCCGGTGGGCCGTTCCAAGGCCTGAAGAATCATGGTCCACCTCTAAATTATCACACAGAATCGTCTACTCTGTACAGAAAAAGGATAGCTATCATATCCTTATAAATAATAGGACACGACGCCATGCTCTACTACATCGGCGTCCGCATTCCCATACTCGGGGAGTCGGGGACTATCACTTTCCCCGAACAAGTATCACCAACGTTGGAGAACGATGTGTTGTGCTAGCCGATGGGTCTTGAGAATACACTAGTTTACCCCATTGTTAGCGATCTGCAAAGCCCAAGAGAGAAAGTGCAGGAGGCAAAATCAACTCTTAACATTTCGAGTATACGAACCGAAGATCCCAGGTGCAATCAACGCCTCAACGGTCAACACTTCAGAACAAGCAAGACGACCTGTCTTCGTGAATCCGGAGAAGCTCCGGCAGTGGGGATAAGGCAGTCTGTTGTATATATCCGACAGAAAGGGGCAAGTTAGATTAACAACTCAGGAGGTCCTCGGCCGCGAGAGCCAGAGGGCGGGTTGAGGTGAGGTGAGTTAAGGTGCGGTGTGAAGGGAGAAATAATTCGGCAGTGGAAGATCAACGTTGTCCCGGCCTGTCAACCAGACCAATGACTCTGTCACTGATACTGACACCACGTCGACGGGCCCTCAACAACTACGTACCAACTACCAATGCTTCCAGTCTTCGTCAATATGGAACCCAGGGTTTGGCAACTTTAACCGGATGAAAAGTGAACACTCTTATTGTGACTGCAGATCAAAAGGCAACTGGAGAACTCCAGTTCCGACTGCCGACCTCGCACGAAACCTTCCCCAGCCTAGTGTAGCCCAACGAGAATAAGGCGAACACGTTTCGGCTCTCAAGCCTTCATGCTTGTGCCGACCGCCTATCCCGGACCCCTCAAGGTTCTCAAGGATGCGAACGATTCAGGTTTGGCTCTTCAATTGTCAACAATCATGAATCAACCAGGTCCCGCCCTCACCCGTGGATCCATCGCCCACCCGTCTCCGGCGTGACCCTGCTTTGTAGGATTCCAATATATTATTACCACCCGGGAATTTGGGAGCAGAGCGAAGCTTGACGGCTTAATTCGTCCCAGCCGCCTTCTCAAGAGATACGGAGTTGCGAGACGCTCAGTGGCTCAGGCATCCAAAGAATTACGTGGTTGGAACTATAACCCACTAGTTGTGCGAGGGTATTGATCCTGATATGATCGTCGCTCGCTTGCCACGAGGCGCGGAGCTTTAGCTTTACTTTTGGACCGTGGTTCATGCAGCAATCTATCGAGGCAAGGGACGTAGTGCCGTCGATCTTTCGCTTGACATCTTTCAGATTGACACAACTTGACAGTCATGTCAGTCCGGGGATCCACTGGACAATGAGGAATGACGACGCTCCAGTTAGTTTGCTCAAATGCGCCCAATAATGTCCTTGATGGTCAATATCTCCCGCATCGCTACGGAGAGGACACTGGATTTGTAAAATCCAGAGCCCAATTATGAGCATCCATACTACAGCCTTTCCACCCCTATCTGTTCCACTCACCATGAGGGGTTCAAAGGGATCTTCCTCAGAGCCAGGAACCCGGAATGATTGACTGACCTGGAGAACTGTACTCTGTTAGGTTTCATCATACTGGAGCAAGTGCGGTACATATGCCACGGCCCTCCACCCTCTTCCAAACCCCCTCCCTTCTTCTCAAAATTTCTGTCTCCCTCCAGGCAGTTCATTCATTTATACTGTCCCGTCTGGTGTTTCTTCTACTGCTCTTGATTCAGTCGGCCAAGCCAATATAGGCGAAGGCCGCGTCCATTCCTTTTTATACGAACTTTGACGGAACACCGGACGACCATCGGCCATTTCATTCATTCACTCATTTATTAATATTCTCCGAGTCGTCAATCTTTTAATATATCCTCAAGATGGCTCTAACCAAAAGGGGTGGCGATATGATAGCAACCGTGACCGTGCTAGTCGGGCTGTCCATCGTTGCTGTGTGTCTTCGTGTCTTTGCTCGATACAAAAGAAGAGTCCGTTTCGACATAGATGACTATCTTTGCTTTATTTCGGCAGTACTGTTGCTTGCCATGTTGGTTGAACTTATCCTATGTAAGTTGGGTGTTTTCGCACCCCCTAATATAACTTGAAGTGTTGCTGACCTTGATATAGGGGTACTTATTGGTGGCAATGGATCTCACCAAAAGGACTTGAGCGTCGAAACCATGAATAACTTCTATAAGGTAACAGTTTTTGTGTCCCAGCAGTTGAATTCTCCCTAAATCAATCCTCTAGGTCTTCCTCGCAAACCAATTCACGTACTTTCTCGTCAGTCCCGCTATCAAAATCTCCATCGTCTGCTTCTACCGCCGTGTATTCACAGTCAAACCTTTTCAATGGGCTTCATTCATAATCAACACCCTAATCGCTTTATGGGGCGCTGCCATCTTCATCGCATGTGGCCTCCAATGCCGCCCACTGAGGTCCTACTGGGACCACTCGGTCAACGGCAAATGCTTCGACAGCAATGAGTTCATTATCGTCAACCAGATATTCAATGTCGTAATGGACTTCGTCATTCTTACTCTCCCTGTACCAATGATCTGGAACCTCCAGCGTGCCTGGCAAGACAAGCTCGCGCTGAACGGTGTCTTTGCTCTTGGTGGTTTCGTCTGCTTTGCTTCTATTTATCGCATTGTCGTGCTCTTCTGGATCAGCCCCGTCGATATCACATATACCGTATACCAGGCAACACTGTGGACACATATAGAGCCATCCATTGGGCTTATATGCTCCTGCCTCCCGATCATCCGTGGTTTATTCCCGAAACTGAAGCTGTCCGGTAGTCGGAAGGCAACCGCACCTTACTATATCAAGACTGATGCTACGAACTCGCATTTTGGCCTTTCGACTTCCCGGTCTCCTGCCTCGGAGTTCTTCAAGCTCGAAGACAAGTCCGACTCAAGGTCTACTACAAATATCACTACGCCCAACAGTCTTGGGCCTCTGGATATCCAAGTTCGCACCGATATCGATATTGAGCAAACTGGTGCGGCGTCAATTCGTTCGCACACTTGAGAACCTATCATTTTTATCCCACCTTTCCATTCTCTTCATATCTTTATATCAGACTCTCTTGGGAGCTTGGGGCCCAGTATATTCTTAATCGACTCAACCCCCCACACTCGCAATTGCCTTGTCGATACGACATTACGCTGTCCGGTATCGATTCGATGAATCACCGAACCATCTAGTCACGGCCCATCGCTCCTGATGACTATGGTGCTCTGGTCTTTTGCTCAGCGCCACCCTGCTACCCAGATATCTTCTAGATATTAGAGAAGAGAGCTAGGTTGGCGGTGATTGCTCCAGCAAACTTCTAGCAACAAAAGGGCGCCGCTAGCCGCGGCTCACTCCATCTCTTGAACAGAGCCGGCGGCCATAAGACGTAGACATTTGTCTATACCTTTATTATGTTCAATTATTTATGATGGCACTGGGGTAGAACCACAAAGCATGGTTTAACCCCAGAATCGCCCCCCATGGCTCATCCGGACGTTATTTAATATCGAAAGACATTGACGATTGACGACATCCTATCATAATGGCGCATTTCATGCGAGGAATTTATTTTTTTTACGACCTTTCCCAATCATCATACAGAGTTGAACATGCAATCGTAGTCTTCATTATTCCGTGGTTTCTAGCTATTCAATGCGCTGTCTGTGCAGTGGATTTCTAGCTCATAGTAAATAAAAAATGTCAGCTTTTGCACAAATCCGCAATAACACTTTAGGAACTGGGTGAGCATACCGGAAGTCCCTCGGCTATGTTTGTGGCTACCCGCTCCACTCCTTCTGAAAGCCCCTGCACGCCAGCATCCCACTGTCGAATGTGACGACCTGTGGCAGTCGTGCTTGATTCGAAGTAGATGATACCATCGATCTGGTCTATACTCCCACTTAAACGGCCTTGTTCCACCATACGAGCTGCGTACGCTTCCGCCTTCTCACCCGCGGTTAGGTCCCCGCTCGCCTGAAGTCCGAGAATGGCGCCCAGCGCGTCGGTCTTGATGTTCTCGTAGAGCTTGCTAGCGGCGACTAGATTGTGCTCTACAACCGCTTTATCCAACACGGTTGTTCCGTCTGCAGTCTGTGCGAGCTGGTGAGGTGCCAGACGCTGCGAAAACGCGGCTACCTCTTCAGGGTTCAAAAGACGATCAAGGAACATTTTCTCCAGAATCCCAAATTCCTCAACGGAGGTAGCTCGATCATCCTTGTACAATGTAGCGAGGGTCCGGGAGCGTTGGGGACCTGCCGGGGCAAGCACAGCGCACCTAATCGCGGCGGCAAGGGCCTGTAGTCGATCACTTTCATCAACACCAGTGGCAAGACTGACCCCGAAGTATTCCTGACTAGCGTCCAAAAAGCGTCTCCGGGCGTCTTGGATTCGAGCCTGCGAAAGTCGGAAATGAAGCTTCAACTCATGATCTTCGATCTTACTCGGCAAGTTCTTGATACGGTTGAGAAATGCTTCGGCGCTTGTCGTGTCGTCTTCTTCGAGATATAGCCGCACAATGCGGATCCATAATCGCACTTTGGCTGAGTCGGAGACTAACCGCTGTGAACTATCGATATGGATACCCTGAAGAGCCTTTGCAGCCGCAATATATTCCTCCTCTTCCTCGTATGCATCTGCTAGGATCTCGCGGATCTGAGCGTCCTGTTCCTCGACGGATGTAGATCGGGACTGAAGAAGGGTCACGGCATGTTGGCCGACTTTGACCTGGGTCTCGGAGGACAGCTTCCGTAGCGTCGCAATAAATGAATCAAGGATAGGACGGGAAGCAACAATGCTGAGGTCTTCGCTTAGGACAGAATCAAGGTAGTAGACGAGGTCATCGGCCAGTTCGGATTCGGGGGATGTTGACACGGTTTCCGAGAGGAGATCATTGTAAAGTTGGAGCTTGTTCTGGGAGTTTGCGGATGATTCTATCTCCGCCAAGGCGGATATTATATTCTGCGATGGCATAAAGACGGTTTAGTGAGAGATTGGAGGTGAGAGACATGTAGATTTAAGGTGGGGAGAATGCTGAAGCCTTAGCTGGTCGGCATGCCACTTATCGATAAGAGGTGTCTACGGGAGACCGGGACCACCATTAATGTACCCTTTACGGCATCACAAGTTACAAGTATCATTACCGTACGGAGTATATTTAGATTTTAAAAAGTAATTAATTGGCTGTTCTATAGGCAATGACTCCTACATAAAGGAGCTTAAAGTATATTGACATAACGGGAGTAAACAACAATACGAGTTCAACCGAACGGCTCAGCATCAATATATATTTTCTCAGAAGTTCCGAGGTTTGGACTTAGCAGTCGTTATTCAAACTGTTGTATTCGACCTAAAAAGCCAGAGCCCGCAGCTGTCTCGATCTTTAGTCATTTATTTCCAAGTATGCTGTGAAATGGCCTTTGGAGCTTGGAAGATACTTAATGAAGAGGAGGTGGTGAAGAGGCAACAAAGCCCACCGCCTTCGGGTGACCCGCATTCTGCATTCTTTGACCTCAGCGCTGCATAGAGTCCGGTGTTGCAGCCGCCTTGCATCATCTCAACAACCACTCACTTGGCCGCTTTACTTGGTTAAGGAGCTTGCCGCCGCCGCTTGATTCACGTTTATATGCGGTCGCACAGTGGTGAGCTTACAGCTATTGAGATTTTCGAGACGATCCCACTCGTTGGAGCTCGGCGCCATGCTTCCCCAGGTCAAGCAAGACCCCGATGCCTCCACGCCTTACATTAAACCCGACCCCGACAGCAAAGACGCCATACTCGCCGACATCGACGACGAGGACCTCTACGAAGATGCCGGTGACTTAGATTTTACGAATGCGGCACAGAGTTTATGGCTTTCTCGAATCCCGCGGTCGCTCTGGGAGCATTGGTCCAACTTGGATAACCTGGATGACGATGAGGAAATTCAGGTTGGCACAGTAAGAATCGAAGGAGATTCAAAAGACATCAAAAGAGTAGGAATATGTTTTGGCCCAATTTTTTTGCAGGCTAGGGAGTAGCTAACTGGATGCGTTCTGTAGGTCAGTTTGCGCCTCAACGACCAAGAGGAGAATCGCGACATCCCTAAGGACTACATTTTGGCACGACAGACAGTAAATACTGAGAACTTGGTACATATGACTCAAAACACGTTTCTTTTCACAGAGAAGGACATTCCCGGCCACGAAAACCGGATGGTCACGTTTGGCGAAACGAGGTCCGCCCTATACGAGTCGATGAAGCGAGATGCAAGGAGAAAGGAACGCAAGAAGAAGTGGGAGCCCTATGTTCGGAAAACAGTTCCAAGTATGTTTACAATTTCGGCGGGCTTATGACCGTGTGTTGCTGATCTCGTGACAGAGCAAACCGCCTTGGTTGGGCATGTGCAAGAAGAATTCAATTGCCTTCCTGTTGAGAACGAAGAATTCAGACTCATATCAGAGAGGAAGGCACTGGAAGCTCTGAAACCGAAGAAGGAAACTGTCTTCATTGATAAGCTCCCGGGCAAGTTGCTGCAACAGAGGCATGCCTTGCCTGGAGAGCAGAGCGCATTTGTGGTATGTTCATTTTGGGCCTATTTGGTAGATTGTTCTTGGCTAATTTTGTCTCTAGCAAGCAACGAGGCCCACAAAGCTCAAAGCACAGGAGAACAAGACTACTCGTATGCCGCAGAACGAGCTGTTGGATCTTGTTTACGGATGTTTCCGAGAATACAGATACTGGCCGTTTAAGACGCTCAAAGCCAGGCTTCGACAACCCGAGGCTTATCTTAAGCAGACCTTGGAAATGATTGCCCATCTAGTGAAATCCGGCGATTTTGCCATGACATGGGAGTTGAAGCCCGAGGCGCGCGAGAGCCATTACTCCAATGCCTTGGAACCCAAGCAAGAAGCTGCCCCTGGCCTCGACTATAACTTTGACGAAGGCTCAGAAGACGATGCAATGGCTTCGGGCATGGATAATGACGAAGCGCAGTTTGAAAATGTGGCCTAAAGAGGGTTGACAATGTAGCATAGGCACCTGCGGCGTTTTCTGGGTTTATGGGCCATTTAAACAGGAGCTTGGGAGTTACTAATATATCAACAATAATGAAGATTTCACAACACAGTATTTTTGTCACTTTCTATTTCATTTTACCTTCACTGTATTTGGTAAAGGAGCCCTCTAGAGTGAATAGATACTACTGGGTAGTGAGGGCTGCTGGGAGTGCACGTGACCGGGCGGAGCGCCACTGCGGAGTAGTTGGTTTCATTTCATCACCTTCCTTTCCAAAACATGACTTGGAGCTTGACCGACTCTTCCAAACCAGCGCAACAGAGCGCAGACGCAGTGAAGAAGTGTTTTTACCATTTGGCTCGCCAGTCTTCAATACGCGACTGAAAGATTTGGTCAATATGACTGAAGATCAGGACCTGATGGCTAAGATCAGCCAGCTTGCTGGTACGCGCATTATGGAATGTCGCTACACGGTTCAAAACTGACAACTCTCTCTCTCTCTCTAGGTCAGATTAACAGGCACAAAAATGGAACACCGCAGACGCAGTCACAGTCGCCCCAACCTGGAGAGCCACATGCCGGTCCCCATGTATCACGACATACCTCGTACCGTGGCCGCCCTGGTTGGGCTCCTTACAGAGGACGGCCGTACAGGCGAGGGCGTGGAGCAGCTCCCCACCGCCACCGTACCCTGATTCTCAACAACTCGACGACCCCGGCGTCGCATAACGCGGCCCCTGCTGATGCCATGGCGGTAGATTCAGACGAGCAGAGTCGCTCAGCGACACCGAATGCCTGGGTGACAAAGCACGCGCGACATATGCAGCTAATTAACTCTGCAGTTTATGACAAAGAGGCGGAGAAAAGGGTTAAGGCTCTGGAAGAAACCCGCAAAGCAAAGGCGCAGAAAAAGGCACAGGCCGAACAGGCGAAGGTGCTACAGTTTGCGCAAGGCGTGGGTAGACAGTTTCCCTCCTCCACACCGCAGGTCCCTGCCACTGGGACATCATCCGGGGAGTACCAGATATTTCTCAACGACATCCCTTTCCGCGTGTCTCGCGGAGGTGGCAAGCTGATCAGAGTTTCTAGTGCGATCCCCACTCAGTCCGCCCTGGTAGAAAGAGCTGGCTTACAGTTAGTAGATGACCCGACCACTGCGAACAATACGCCCAAGCGGGTGAAAGTTGCTGGTGTGACGTTTGTCCGGAGCAAGAACGGCAACCTCCATCGACTAGGGGCAGTAACCTCGAAAAGGTGATCGTTATGCTTTCCATCTTGGATAACATGATACTTATGATGATGACAGGATACCATCGGCAATTAAGAAAAAGGACGAGCTTTGCCAAAGATTCACAACGACGGGTACCGATACTCTCCTTCCAGACCCCCAGAATTTCACCTTATCGGCGACTTCGTTTTCGTATCGATTCGAAAGAGCAACACTAACCAAGGTTTTTCTCACTAGGTACCTGCTACAAGGGACCTTCATGCCTGTACGTCCATGACCCGAACAAAGTCGCTATTTGCAAAGATTTCCTTCAGACAGGCAAATGTAGCGCAGGTAATAGTTGCGATTTGTCACACGAGCCGTCCCCTCATAGGTCCCCTGCTTGTGTACATTTCCTTCGAGGTCGTTGTTCTAACCCAGAATGTCGCTATACCCACGTCCGAGTCACGCCCGGAGCGCCGGTGTGTAGGGCTTTTGCAACATTGGGATACTGTGATAAAGGCGAAGAATGCGAGGAGCGACATGTTCACGAATGCCCAGACTACGCGAACACAGGTGTTTGCAAGAAAAAGAACTGCCGACTACCACATGTTGATCGTGCTGGACAGATTCGAAAGAATGCTGCTCCAAAGGAAGACGCCTCTGATGGTGAAGAGTCTGATGCTTCTAGCGAAGAAGAAGAGTATGACGAGATCGGATCCGATGATGTCGACTCTGATTATCTTTCCGATGAGGGAGAGCTTATCGAAGGAGCGGAGACTGGTGAAATCTCGAAGCAGCAGGATTTCATCAGCCTCTGATTGTGCTCAATCACTAACTACAGTCTGTAATCCAGGGTTGGGTCCGCTTTGGACAAGACCCCAAGGAGGAAGACGGATAGGGGAACAGTCCTTACTTGGACACCAAGTCGAATTTTTGCTCGTTTTTATTGCTATCATGGAAGATACCCCCGGATTTCACATCCAGATTTGTACAACATGATTCTCGCAGATCCGATTAGGAGCTGATATAGTGCGGCACACAATGGTTCGATAGAGGAACGGAGGCGGATAGTAGAGTATCATTATTTTGACACCAGGACATTGAGATAGGGAAAATAAAAACAATGGAGTTTATTATTATCTTTGGACCCTTTTCCCCTTTCCACCGAGTAGATAATCCAGGAACCTCCAAACCCCTTCCCGTTTCCTGGGGCACAGGCAAGTATCCAACTCCGCCAAAGGTATGAGTCACACAGAAGAGCTCCCAAAGAAAGTCCCAGAAGTCAGGTCAGGTAGAAACCAGCCAGGAAGGATGCACACTAAGGAACCCACAACGTGGATCTTGGTAGCAGTCTATGCCATGCCATGCCATGCAATGCAAGCTACTTCGAAGACACGCTGTGCTGTGCCTGGGAGACTGGAGTGGGCTGTGGGCTGTGGGCTGTCCAGGTGGCTTGTGGGTTCCAACCTTCTCAGTCTTGTCCCCGTCCATTCGGATGGGTGCATTGCATCCAATTTCAACTTCATGGGACCCATTATGGAGTTTCTTGGAGTAGGTTGTCGATGATAGTAGACTCCAGCTTCACAGACCACCTGCTAAGTCTAGTGTTTCGTCCTTTTGCCGTGGGGATGGCTCCGACAGTCGCCAGTGGCCTCCCGGAGGATGTCGGTAGGGATTTAGTTTGAAACATGTGGTGAGTTCGGCAGCCTTTGTTTCATTCCCGGGGGTTTCGTGGTTGTGAGGTGGTTTGCCTTATTCCTGTCTCGGTATCTATTTCCTGGGCCCGGTCACTGCGGGTTTACTAGCTGCCCCGTGCCCGCTCTGTATACAACAAAGGCCTAATGGATTAATTGCACTGCACAATGACAAAGAATGCATAACCTTTCATTATTGATTAACCAGGAGATACTCCCATTAGGGGCAATTGCCCCAATTTAATATCATTTGAAACAATACCAAGGCAGGAGACTCTATTGGATATCTACAGATTCTTGACCGCTGCTTGCGATGGCGCTGAAACATATCTGTGATACTGACATCTGAAAAGGCTTTGGACCTCGACCGCAATTCTTGGGTAATATGGAGTGCCTAGACTATGGAATCATCTATTCTGGTCTGTTTACCGCTCTTTGGGCGTCTTCGAAGGTGCTGTGCATACCGGCCTGGGACTCACTGTAACCTCCTGAAAGGAGATGACTCAAACTACCTACTAGACAGCTGAATTTGCCTAGTACATAGGCTATGTCCACTGTAAAGCAAGTCGGAATAACATTGATATGGCCGGTGCTGTATCGCCGGTAGAGCCGACGTTGGGCACTGAATCTTGCATCTAGCCTAAGAAGGATCGGCATGGTTCATGGAACTCAGAACAAAGCCCAATCAACGGTTGGATCTAACCTTCGACTGTCAAGTCGATTCTGCCTTGTAAAGGCCTCAGGAGATTGCGTACTCATTTCTTGGTTCTCTCCCCTTGGGTGGCGCAATTTGTAATGTCGTGATGTAATATCGTCCATCGGGGCATATCCCGAGAGCAATAACAAATCATCTCAGACGATACCAAGGGGATGGCAGGATTATCTTTGGAACTGTTTTGAATGTCCTATTTTGGGTGAAGGGATTTAAACTCTCCACAGATTGGTTGCACTGTGTTCTGCTATTGGGCCGGCTGCGTTTGTACACCGCCAGAATGGCGCCTCGAGCAGCGTCATCGTCGGCTGAGCCTTCTCGGGTGAGAATAGAGTAATCGTCCGGCTCCCCGAAAAAAAGAGAAAAAAAAAATTTGGGGAAGCAAATATTGGTGACATTCGGTGATCTTGTGCGGTACGAAGCCATACTATATCACTGAATGATGGTATGCCTGAATGGGCTGAGGCCTACAACCTGTTCAAGTCGGAAAACCAAGGACCTGCTGCCCTCGTCGTTATACGAGCCTTATGAGGTCTTATCCATGCCCGTGACTGACGGGTGAATCCTACACTAGGGGTAATAATGATATCAAAATGAAGCCGTGGGGGTGACCGAGGGCGAGCGCATGCGATGCGAGAAAGACGTGTAAAGTCCGGGGAACTTCCCATTCGCCCGTTTGATGTCTTGCCACTTCCTTCTTGTTTCTCGCTGATTGATAGCCTAAACAGCTGGTGAGGAGGTGAGAGGGCGAGACAACCTTTGTTTCTTTAATACTGGTATCGTTCATTTCGGGAAACCATTTCGATCAGTCGAGGGAGCGTGGCACACGCGGTGATGCCCCGTGGTATCGTCTACCATTTGAAACACACCTCTAGTGTGACTCATGGCCCATATTCCTAAGAACCGGGAGCCGAATTGATAGCAGAAGTACCCAATTAGGCTCAGATGTGAAGTTCGGCAGATAGAGTAGTCCCTGAAATGGAAGGTAGTTTAACGGCAATGCTTCGAGAAGGATAACGAATGACACTCCTTGCGCTGGATAGTGGACCGGTGAAGCCTTCGAGGTTGTTTCATCTTATCAGATGCATAAGGACGCTGTGCAACGTAATGAGCATGCATTATGACAGAACCGTTTATACATGACCTCGGTGCGAGAACAGGCATAATTCGCAATCTGAGCCCTGGTTTTGACAAAAAAGACAGTAATGCTTGCCCTGCGGGACTCAAGCCATCACGAGCTGTAGGCCGGATAAAGTACTTGAGATAGGAGGAAATAAGTGTTTGGATTATTGAGGAGTGAGGCGAGTGTCACGAGGTTACCCCGTGACCAGGCAGCTCTGGTGCATGGGATGACTTCATGCGACTCACTGGACGAACCTGTGGATCGTCTCAACGCCTGAAGCTTCAATGTTGCCGTCACTTCCGCCTTGTTCATGTCCGACAGTTAAATGGTGCAGCTGAAGAGCCCATCTACGGACGCATACTAGCCAAGCAACCATGAGACAATTGGGTGATACGGATGGGATGCTCCCCGGCAACCCATCAACCGTCACGTCTCACATAATGCAGGGAGAAGATCTTGGAGCATCGATGCCTTACCCTATCCAGATTACGCGTAACCTATATGGGCAGCTCAGTTTCGGGTGAATGAAGGGCAGCGCGAGTGCAGAACAGACATATTAGGAAGGAGGGGCACTCACCAGCCAGGCGACTCGCTTGGGAATTAGACTACCAGCTCCGGATTTCTGGTTGAGAGGCAGTGACTCGATCTGATCAATTGGAGTTTTGTGTGACGGCCTTCCTTCTGCAGCACATAAGCAGCATTGCAATGTCGGCCGAGCACGGGGCACCTGGGAAAGTGTATGCGACTGTATGCCAGTCGATGGTACGTACATCTCTGGTACACTAACGACGGGGCCGTCATTGATGGGTCACTGGATCCCTGGATCTTCTACGGGCCGGCCCTAACTGTACCAAAGACAAATCATTAGGAGACGGGACTATGACATCTTGGGTCACAATTCCATCCCGGTTCAAGACAGCCCAGTACTTTTTCGCCCGGCCTTATCCTCCAGTCGCCGACTCGCGGAAATGAGGGCCTGAGAGACCGTTTCCTGGACTTTGGAGGGGCTGCTGAGAGGGGAGGGTCGCACTAAACCGGGAATGATTGGTTCTGGCAGGCTGAAAACGAAGACGACCGATACACTCGTTCATCTGATCATTACCCCTCCTTCGCCTCGAGCACCAGTCCCTCTGCCGGCGGAATGTATCACTGGGTGTTCTGGTCTTGTAACCGGAAATTACCATTAACCAAAATGAGAAACTAAACGATCATGAGATGGCGTTGAATGATGCACCTTGACCGAGCGCACAGACGGCTTCCTTTTGGGCAGCATTCCCACCCCCAAGCGCGCACGAACAGCTGAGATAGGGCACGCTCAGGTACGCTTGACCAGCAGAAAGGATTTGTTGTTTGGAGGGTGAAAAGAGAACGGGATACCAATCATCCAAGGTTGAATGTGATGGAGGCTCAGCGCCGGGCTATGAGCTGTGGAAGGATTCCCGTTTCTGGATCCTCGTGAAGCCTGTCCGTGCGAGAACCGGAGGGTGTCGCGGACGAGGACGAGGGCAGGGCTTGATAGGCTACGACTTTGTTTACAGTGTATGGGTCACCGGAGGGTCCACGGTTCTTGTTTTCCTCAATCTTGGCTCAGGCAGCGACTGTTTTGAAACCGCCGCGAGAGGCGAGAGACTGTGAGGGACCGTGAGATGCTTATTCATCTGCTTGATGCCCCCAGCTGCACGTCTGCCCAACGAAGCATCCAATAATCGGCCTTGTTGAACTCGGAAGCCGTCACAAATCGTCGCCTCGTTCTTGACTTTGCTGCTGACCGCCGAATGTCTGGAAGTGGGAAAATCGGTCGATCCAGAGTCTTTGGGTCTTTTGCGATTGATTTGATCTTGCGTTCCTCTTGGGAGATGAATGCTATTTTGTTCTATTTTTTTTCTGACCTTTTTATTTTATTTTATTTAATTTTAATTTTTCCTGCTTCCTGTTTCTGAGTTGACGAACAGATTCAGGTACACAACTCTGTCTGCCTTCTTTTGCTCCCAGCATAACGAGATCAGGTAGTTATATTCGCATTCCCCTCCCACCTTAGCACCCGCTCTCTTCCCTCTACTCCATCGCTCTGCGGTATTCAAGTCTGCCTTTGATCGCTTTCCATCTCTCTCATCTCCTCCCATCTTCTCTCTCCTTCTTCCGCCGTCTCCTCTACACACCTACTACTCCCTCTGTTCACCCCCACCCCGCGGCCCCATCAACACACCGCCTGTTGTATCACTTCAAGATCTCTTCATCTCTTCATCGCTCATCTCTCGAACTCTCTCTCTTTCATCTTTATCTCTATTTTACTTTGCCCAGTCATGGCAAGATTTTCTCAACCAGCCTTTGACTTTTATCATCAGCATCCTTCTACCTTGGACGCGAAGCCTTCATCAACATCATATCTGGAAGAGGACGATATGAGCGTATTAGACGACAAGATCCTTGACTCTACCTCCGATCTCACATCTGCCGACCACCGGAGGCATTCATACGAACAAGGCGCAGACGCTTTCCAACATCGAGATTCAGTCTGGTCCGACTTCTCACATTCAGCATCCAGCACGCAGTCCCGCCACAGTTCGCAAGTAGGCCACCCTTTTTTTGAGTCTGCACCGAACCCTTTCATGAGAATGGACGGACTTCCTTACGGCCAACCTCAAACGTGGGCGATCTCGAAAGACTCCGGCTCATGTACACCCTCTGCTATGTACGAGCCCTACCCCGCCGATATGGAAAACACTTCGGTCGCTCCCTTTGCCGGCGGTGCTGTGGGCCCGGTAAATACCGTCAGTATGCCATCGATGTCTTATCGTCAACATATGGGGTTCGCACCACCGGGCGCGGTTGCCATGTCACCACAGTCAAGTCAAGGCTGGATGCCGGCCGCGACAGACATGCATGACCCAGGATCGCGACCAAAAGCCAGCCCCACCTATCGGAATAGCTCGCCTCTTAGCGTTCGCCGAGATGGCATTCGAAAGAAGAACGCTCGCTTCGAGATTCCCGCTGAGAGGACACTGAGCAATATCGACCATCTTATTAGCCAGTCCACCAACGAGGAGGAGATCAAGGAACTGAAGCAACAAAAGCGCTTGCTGAGGAATCGCCAGGCCGCGTAAGTCCTATCATATCCCCCAATATGTATCAGAACGTGCTAATAGACACATAGTCTGGATTCTCGGCAGCGCAAGAAGCTTCACACGGAGAAACTTGAGGAGGAGAAGAAACATTTCACCCAAGCCATCACCGACCTTGAGGAGGAAGTGCAAAATATGAGACTCCGCGAGGGAGAGCTCATTCGTGAGAAGAACGAGTGGATTGCTGCACAGCAAGAAATTACCCAGTACATCAACACCATGCATATGCAGAAAGATGAACTTATTCGGGCTCACACCTTGGAGACGGCTGAACTTCGAAAGAAGAACAATATCCTCAAAGAGACTGTGGAAAAGTTGGAGCGCCACGCCAGATCTAATGTTCCCACCGAGTTCTCCGACTTTGAAAACTTGACTATGGAGAGCAGTCCTTGGGAAGACTTTACCATGGTCAACAGTCTATCTCTGGACACGGACCACGGACCCGCCGCTCAGCCATCCCAGTCTATGGTGGTCACCGCAAATGAGAAGGCTCCTGAAAAGCCAGCAAACGAGTATCCTTTCAGCTGGAATGCTTTCTACATGTGTCTGCTTTTCGGTGCTTTCATCGCTTCCAACAGCGCTTCCGTTCCTGCGCGTTCTCTTCCTCATTTGTCTGAGGAATATCGCGCAGAGTCCGCGAATGTCCTTAAAGCCGTCCTATCTTCGTCGCCGCCAGAGCTTGCGCACTCAACGACCAACCAGCCGGCTGTTCCCTCTTCTGCTGGTTCGCTCCCAACTACCATCACTGGTGCCGAGATGGCTCAGATGACCGGGTCAACGACCACCTCGAACCTCGACGAGCTCCACAACTCCCTCGCGATGCCAACCAAGGAGCAAGAACAAGAGCAGGTTTTTGCTCTCAACGCCGAACAGTATAACTCGCTGACTACGTTTGACGAGACTGGCGCCGGGTACAAGTCTCAGCAGCCCTCGAATCTCCAGCAGGCCCTGGCCGCGATGAGGGGTAATGCTCCGCAGGCCAGGGTGCCTCAAAAATCTGCATCTGATGTGTACTCGCGGTCACTCATGTGGGACCGCGTTCCTGAAAAGGTAATTCGAGACTTTCGACGAATGGTTCAGGAATATGGCGCTGCCCCCGCCCGAGGAGACGCGCCAGGCTTTGCCCAAGTCTAAGGATTAGGCCAAGGATTCATATCAGCCGTATCCAGAGACAGCTATGCTTTGCCGCCCTCGCTCCACCAGCACATCCAGTTTTATTCTTTCACCATCGCCCCTCGACCGTTCTACCATTTTATTTGTGTCTTTTCTCAATGACAAACATAACGATACACGACTGTTGGCCAGCTTTAGCCAGACTTAGCCATATACATGCATAGAACAGCTTGCCGTTTCCTTCGCCAGGTTATGTGATATCGACTAGCTTTTTTCATGACTGTCTGACAATTTAGCGGTGTGTTTATATTATTATTATTTTGCGGGCTATCGGCGTATATCGATTTACCAGCGTCTGGATTATACTTTGGAGTGCATATTACAAGCCACCAAAGCGTTTTTGCATTCGTGTACACTCTACGTCTTCCACCGATTCTCACTCGGACACAGTTCTACCTCTCAAGGGTATCGAAGTTCGACATGACTAAATGGCCTCAGGGCTATCCGGGAGTCATCAATGGGTTGCTCGAATGAGAATCAAACGGAGACAAATATCTTTTCGTCTTGTTTCTATTCATTCTTACTTTCTGTATTTGGGATTTCTTGAGCCTTTGATTTAATTGTTTTCTGTTGCATCTGCGGGTTGGACCTGGACGAGGGGCGGCAATTGTGTTACGATTACTGATTGATACGACTGACATGTTTACGAAGTGAAATGTCTTTTTAATGTTTGATGATATTTGATCATTTGCCTTCTCTTTCTTGGTCAGCAGGGCTGCCACTATTGGGTGGTATTGTTCTTGTTCTTCTTTTTTCCCTTTGTTTGTTTTTTGAGCGTTCTTCCCTTCGTGCTGGACCCCTGCCTTCGCCGAGGTCTTCACATCTCCTTTGTTTGTCATCATATACTCTTTGACAGGGTCATCTTTTGCTTTTTTCATTTGCACACGGATCTGATCGATCTGGCTTGGGCTGGTCTGGATTACACCAAATTCTCGGCCTCAGACTTCGATTCCGGCTCTAAATCCGGGGCGAAGCGGCTTGCTGCTCTTACCCCTTCCACTCCTTGAAGCAACCACACCGAAATCCTTTCCTTTGTCAACCCGTGTGTGATAGCTTCATTCTTACATTCTTGGACCTAGCCTGTACTGTATATATTGACAAACAACATAACGTCGAAGATTCACTTTGATGTCTCTTCCATCCTGTTCCCATAAAAAAACAGCCAGCGTCCCTCCATCTCTCGTAGCCCAATAGTCCAGATGTAAGCAGTCATCACGAGGCTTACCCAACCCCCTCTCACAACGTAGGAAGCTCTCACAGAAGTCAAGGCGAATCTCTTTCCCCCCCAGCTCCAGCGGCCTCCGCAACCACAAACCTACCGTCCTCCCCCACCCAGAAAAATATATATACATATATATATCCAAGGAACGCCAGAGAAAGCAAGCACGTAAACCCGACAACGGGAATTACGAGACATTCGCAAACGGTAAACGGCACCGACCAAACCTGACTAGATTCCAGAAGAGACATGATCTCCAAGCCAAGGCAGTGTGACGAACTATGGAGAACTGCCGCATCCCGAGTTTATACCTTGGGCAGCCCCGGGCTTAGGTATCAACAATCAACTTGATTTACATCCTCGCCCCGTTTCGCTGGTAAAACTGAGCGTCTGTCTGGATGCAATGCTGCACCGACCATCTATTTACTGCGATGACCAAGGGCGGAGAAGGTGGGCTATGTGGCCCCGGGGAGAGGGGGGAGCTTCCGACTCGGTGGAGGTGTTCCTCTCGTGAATTGGTCCATTTGAATGCATAACACCATTCGTGCTGGTGAAAGTGCTCTCCTCATTTAACTAGTCTACTACGCCAATGCTCTGTGGATGCAAGTGGGATGGAGCTGGATGGTCCAACAGAGAAGAACAAAAAATATGATGAGAGGACTAATTAGGTAGTAGTGTGTATTGTTTCCCCCTTTTTCATTTTTATTGCTCGTGAGACTCCGGGGAAACAACTTGCATACGAACGCCCCAAGAGGGATTATACTGGCGAATGGGGACGACAAATAGCAGGGAGAGGAAATATTAGCTTGCATGATATGGTAAATAAGAGTTATAGAACTGAAACGGAAATACAAGGTCTGGATCAGCCAAGAGATTGGGTTCCCAAAACAAAGATGAGGCTTCGATACTTCCGTTGGGTCACGAACCCTAGGGGAAGGTTTATACTTCTTCTCCACAGCGAAATGAACGTTGCGGTAGATAGCAACAGGGATTGGGCCACCCAAGAAACCAAACTAATCTAACCGGGGTTGTCAATCAGCCCACAAGGTCGATATTGGATTGGCTGGTAAGAGACAGTGCTGGGCACCAGGATTCAACTGTTTTGTTTCCGGGGCCGCCATATGCGATTGCAGCACGATGATGTGACTATGCATTTTCAGCCCCAGAGCCAAACCCAGAATTTTGGACCCATATTCAGAATGGCTGCCCGGCTGGGACTGCGGGGGCTGTGATAGGGCTACGGTGAAGCGCCTCGGTCACTCGCGGTTTTACAAGGCTGAGGCATCTCGTGGGGAGAATGGCGGGTTTATTTCGGATTGTATTTGTCTTTCCAAATCCTAGAATAATTAATATCAATGTCAGCCTTGACCCAGCTTGCGAGTAAATCATTCCGAGGAAGCGGGAAGAGGGGAAGGTGAGTATGGTGTTGTGGTTGGTTAAGTGCTTGACGCCAGAGCTGCATGGCGCAGTTGCAGAAGATGCCACGAGAGCCTATCAACTGAACTGCAGCCGCTGCTCCCCAGACATTTCCGAAGCAGTGATTCATGCAGGTGATTACAGCAACCGAGGATACAGAAATGCTCATATCCAAGTCGTCACATTTGTTTTGGGTTTCGCACAATAAATGGAGGAGGAAAATAAGAGACTTGTTTCGACATACCAAGAATTTCCCACAATCTTGTTTCCTTGTCCTTCAGCCAATCGGTAGTATTTAGCGGCCGCAAACTTAAGAAACAGCAAAAATTAGTCAAGAACAGGATTGGCGAGTACGACGAGTGTTCAACGGTGCCGGGAGAGTGAAGCGAGGATCCAGGCATTGATGCCCAAGACGACTATGGGAACTGTCCACAGTACTACCACGAACAGGAAAGCTACGCAGCAAGCCACTTACTTTGTCTTTTTTGCCTCCGAATCCCTCGAGATAGCACCAGGCAGCTTCATTCATGGCATCTGCATCGCCCAGGTTGGCAGCTGTCTCAAAGTACTGCCGCGCCGCTGCTGGGTCCTTCTTGACGCCCCAGCCGTTGCGAAAGCAATTTCCTAATTCGAAAATAGCTAGGACAAGCTCGCCCTTAGCGGCGCCGCCTTTCTTGAGGCCTGCCTCGAGAGCTTCGGCCTCAATCGACGCCGAGTTTGACGCTGCAGCTGAAAGATATATTATCGCCTTTTCGAGGTCAGGGGTGCAGCCCCAGCCATGCCTGTAGGCCGGTACCAGGTTAGGATATCCATTCCGCCTGTAGACAATGCAGAGAGCGTAACTCCAACGACAACTCTTACCTCAACGCAAGGCCGTAAAGCACCTGGCTAAGCGCATTATTGGCGCCATTCGGGTCCGCTAGTCGGCCAAACATGTTTGTTGACAACTCCAGATCTATTATATAAATCAAATGGTAAGCTCAATTCCATCACTGGTACGACTTTTGGCCGTTAGGTCATTCTCTTACCACCAGCTTCATGGAGTCGGATTGCCTCTTGGATATTGACCTGGATCACTGTTAAATCGCTGGCCACAACCAATACGGCCGCATTAATCCAGATTGTCAGCTTACATCACCTTGCGGATCGTTGATCCGACTATGGCTGGAACTCCGGGACCGAGGCCGTATACTATCCGAACCAAGGCCTATTGATGGAGCAGGTGAATGACCAGGTGATGATCCAGGTTGCGGGCTATGCTGCGCCAGGAAAGTTGCTCGCTTCTCCCATTGCGCTTCCCGATCCTGCTCGTCGCCAGTATTGGGTTCTATCTGCGGAAGGTCCGATGGGATGTTGGCGGAAGCCGAGGAAGCTCGCCGATCACGACGCAACAAATGCGACAACCGTCTCTCTCCTCGCGGGCGAGTTGGCGATGCTAGTTCCCCCGATTCGGAAGGAGACCTCGAGCGATGGAATGGATTCAGCGATTTCCGATGCGATGAGGAAGAGGATGGCCGCGCTGAGGCTAGATAGCTTTCATCATCCTGGTGGCTGGGTGGGATGATGATATCCTGGGTGGTGGTATCCGAGCGGACGAATCTGATCTCAGGCACGGAGTTTTCATGAGTTTCTATCGTGTTTGTGGCATATTGATTGTCGGAGCTGTTAAGCTTGTCTTTCTTATGGAGGATGTCGCGCAACGGCATTGCTTGTATTGAGAGTCGATGATTTTGCGGGGTTGTTTGTTGCGGCGGAAGTGCGGGAACTCAAATCAAAGGGTTGGCGGGACGGCTTGAAGCGAAAATGGTTTCAGAAAAGGACACAAGCAGGCTTGGGCTATTGAATGTTAATATACGGTGTTCTGCCCCCCGTGACGCTGTCTTTACCACGATTCAGTTACAGTGGTAGTAACATGGTAGGACAGGAACAAAGCCGCTGGAACGAGGCTGTGTCAGCCCATTGCCGCCGATGAATATTAATAGTAAGATATGACCTGGGCTGGAGGTTCCTCTCCTTTTGTTATTAATTAATATTCACTCCTTTACCAACGGTTCCATGCGGATTGACCACCTAGTAACCGAGTCTTTCATGTGCTTACAAGATTGGAACCTGCTATCCACCACCACCTAGACTTCCAGGTCTGTTTCGCTTGCCGCATTATATGTGGTTTTCTCCCAGTCCTTTACTCTGCGTTTCCAATGCAATGATAGTAGAAGATATGGAGATGCGTAGATGCGAAGGGACTGGAAAGTCGAATGGTAGATGTGTATCGGCGAAGCCGTGTGAGCAGCGGTAAAGATGTTGAGCAACTTCAGAGAAAGCCACGCGACAAGTAGTGTAGGCATCGAGACCATCCTGACAAAGAGACTTTTGGGTAACTGAAAATGTTAGTGCAAAAGGAGTGACTATCCAGCAGCAAAAGGAAATAAATATCGCTTTTGACTATGGCTCAGAAAAACGGTGGTCTACTTTACAACTTTACGAGGCACATGTGATGTACAAAACCCCAAACTCGGCAGGTACAAGATTCTTCGAAACTTGTAGATCAAGATGGTATTGATATGTCTAATTTAGCACAGAAACAGGTCTTAATTTGTACATGAGTTGATGGCAGCAACGCCATCAAGCAAACTCCATTTACTGGGCCTTGGAGGACATAATGCCTGCAGAAAAGAACTGTTAGCTCGGTAAAAATCAAAAGTTTCGAGCTTTAACTTACGCTCAACGTCAGAAACGCTCTGGCTGAGAATCTGCTGGAGAGTCTTGGGGTTCTCGAGCTCCTTCTGGATCTTGCCAATAACGCTCTCAGCAAGCTCACGCTGCTGGCGCTGCTTGACCTGGCCCTCGTAGCGAACCCACGAGTCAAGGACCTGTTTGGCCTCAGTTGCAAGAGCGGTACGCTGCTCAAGCTCGTAGGCCTGAGCCTCAAGCTGGGCGGTTTCCTTTATGAAACATTAGCTATGCTATCTCCAGATATAGCAACGAGCATCAATATGCTCCAGTAGTAGTAGAGGTACCTTGGAAACAGCAAAGAGCTGCTTAGTGAGGTCAACAACACCAGAGAGCTCCTTGACGTTGTCCATACGCTGCTTAACGGCGTTGGTGTGGTCGGCACGGGCAGCGTTCAGGATGTCCTTGTGCTTCTGAACCTGACCCTCAGCCCACTCGCGGTAAGCAGGACCGCCGTACTTGGCAACAGCAGTGAAAACGCTGAGCAAACAGAAGGCGGCAACGGTTTCCTCGTTCATCACGTAGAGCTCGTTGCTGATGGCGGCGACGGAGAGACCGGCGGTGGCAGAGAGGATGGCGGTCTTGGAGACCAGCGAGTTTCCGGGGAGGGCGTCGAGGATCGACTGAGCCTTCTGCTTGGGGTCTTCGGTAGGGACGTTGGAAGCAGAGCGAGTTGCGGAGAGGTTGGCCGTGATGGCAGCGACGTTGCGCGAAGGAAGGGTCGGCCGCAGCCGGGTAACGCCTGCTGGGAGTCAGCAACTGTTATAATGTGGTGAAAGTGGTTGTCGAGAATTGTTAGTTGCATACCAATGGCGCTCTTAGCCACACGCGAAGCCATTGTTGTGATAGTCAGACCTTGACAGGATGTGATGGGTGAACGGAATTGAGGAGAACTGAAGTCGGGATGGCGGCTTGAACGGGAGGGCACTAATCCCAATACGGAAATAGTGCGGTCACCGGAAAAACCGCTAACCGAGCAATGCCCGAAAAATTATAGAACCAAGACAAGGGAAAATACTCGTGGGAGCACATTTGCCCTTCATTGCATCGAGATCGCGATTCGCGCCAAGCAGTCAGAATGCCTGCTACTACCAATAAGCCAGCCGCCTCCAAGAAGCGAAAGAGCTCAAAGGAAAACAGTGTTCCGTCCTCAAAACGTCGTGCCGTCGCAGAAATTGAGAGCGCAGAGTCGATGGTGAAGATACAGCAACTGGAAGACCAAATATCGGAGTCCAGGAAACACTACAATAATATCGTGACGCTTATATCCATGCTCAGTGATGGCGAATCAAAGTCGAATCCGGATTTGGCCGTGGCAGTCTCGCTTTGTCGAGTTTTCAGCAGATTGATTGCTGGTGGAAATTTGACAGAGCCGGAACGCGCCGCAGAGAATGAAAAGATCGTTGTGGCATGGCTCAAGGAACGCTGCCGGGAGTATCAGAGACTGCTGGATTCCATTATGCGCAAGGGTGATGCTTCATCACAGGTTAGTTGTTTGCTCTCTAGACGGTATTTTTTCACTAGCTAACCATGCTAGATTACTGCCTTGACCCTAGCTATGCGCATCCTCAACGAACGTGCTACCCATATCCCCGGTGATGATACCCAGGCCTGGACGTCGGGTATATTCCGCAACATTTTTGAAGCTGTGATTGAGGCTAGAGACGGGCAGGCCTTACGGTCAGAATTCCTCGAAAAGTTTTTGAAGGTGTACGAAGATGTCAAGTACTATACATTCATGCAAGTTGCGTACGTTTCCCCCACAACATTTAAGGAAGTCTTTAACGCTTGGACTGGTACTGACATTTTGGGACAGTGAATATGCAGCTACGGCAAGGAGCACCGAGATCCTCGAAATCCTAGTCACAATCCTGTCAACATGCGACAACGTTCCCGGGCCGGATTACAAGTTCCTGTCCTTCTACAGTAAGGCTAGCAAAGAAAACAAGAAGATCGTCTCAATCAACTCTTATAAGAAACGCGCTCAAGACGCCTGGCTAGCCGTCCTTCGAAACAATCTCTCCCAACCTCTACGCAAAACCCTCCTCCGCATCATGGTTCACCACGTTGAGCCGTGGTTCAATCGCCCAGAACTCCTTATGGATTTTCTCACAGATTCCTACAATGTCGGCGGTGCCACGTCACTCCTAGCCCTCTCCGGTCTCTTCTACCTGATCCAAGAAAAGAACCTAGACTACCCGCAATTTTACCCAAAACTATACTCTCTCCTCGACGCCGAGCTCCTCCACTCAAAGCATCGATCACGCTTCTTCCGTCTCCTAAACACTTTCCTCGCCTCAACCCATCTTCCCGCAACCCTTGTCGCAAGCTTTATTAAACGCCTCTCCCGACTGTCCCTCAACGCACCCCCGGCTGCCATCGTCGCCATCGTCCCATTCATGTATAACCTCTTCAAAAGCCACCCCACCTGCACGTTCATGCTCCATCGCGCTATCCGCGACAAGGAACTGCAAGCCGAAATAGAGGCAGAAGGTATGGAGGACCCATTCGACCCGGGGGAGTCGGACCCAGACCGCACCGGCGCGATCGACAGTTGTTTATGGGAAATCGAGACCCTCCAGTCCCACTATCATCCAAACGTGGCATCCATAGCCCGCATTATATCCGAACAGTTCACGAAGCATAGTTATACCCTGGAAGATTTCCTGGATTATACCTACCAAGGCATGGTACAGGCGGAGTTAGGGACGGGAGAAAAACCGCTGAAAAAGATTCCTGTCGTGGAATACCAAATACCGAAACGGATATTCACTGATCGCCTGTTAGAGGAGGATGGCGGTGTGGATACGGCTCAGGGTAGTCTTCTGCGGAATTTCTGGGATTTCTCATAACTTGATGTCGTGCTTCTCCTTGGGTTTAAAATTTTAGAGTATATCATAGAAATCCTTCAGAGTCAGTGTCAGGAAACGATTGATTCGTATTATATTCTATCTAATCTATATTTAGCGTTTTAACGACTCGGACAAACAAATCTATCTATTGCACCAAAGATGCAAAATCCAACGCCCGCTTGATGCTGTATTTGCAATACTTGCAATACTTGACGCATTTCATCACACAGAGGGTGTCCGCCCACTACCCACCCATCCCGCAGAGTCCGTCCGGCGAGCATTGGAACTATACGTCGTCAAAGGCGTGGAAGTGGTATCCGAAACCGCGGATTCGCGCCATTGGTGGTAGAGATACGGAGAAACTGCAACCAGTCCAACAGGTTGCCTCATGAAATGTTGAGGCCACATTCTTTCGGTTTGTTCTGCTCTCTCATCTCCTGGGTGGTAGTCTCCGAAGACGTCCAAAGCAAACACACCCCGTTTCATGTCGTCGAAGAGTTCATCGCCAACTTTGACTGGAATTGCCTCGATATTGGCGCGCATTTTTTGGAGGATATGTTGAGCTTTTCTGCGCCTTCGTCTCCGCCGTATACCGACTTCGTCTTCCATTCTCTCGAGAATATGGAGAATCTCCTTCTCAGACGAAGCGCTGACGATGGCAAGTTCTGTCTTCTGCGCCAGCTGGTGAAGGTCAAAGGACACAGCACGAAACAATGCGTCAACTTTGTATAATGCCGCCATGACTCGGGACGACAAGACATTTGCGAATGATCGCTCGTATAGTCGCTCCCAAAATCCCATCCAATGACATAATCCGCTGCGAGATTTGCGTAGTCTTGTCAGCTCGAGGGACGCAATTACATGGCGGCATGTATCGAGGGTATGCAGCGCCTCGAGTCGGGTCATTTCTAACGACTGCCGCGTATCTGTTATATTCGAGGTCGACATGTATGGCTCCGGATCAGGCTCTGGGCCCAGATCTAAAGAGCGATAGTAGCGGCGTTGCTGTCCGCATCTTGACGTGGTTGATGAGCGCGATGAGCGCACTCGCACAATTTCAACCTTTCGCTCAGACGAAGACTCTCCAGTCTTCGTTAAAATTGCTGAACCCTCCGAACGCATAGTAAAATCGCACCAATGGTGTAATTGTGTTATAGAAGAAAAATTCGGGAGGGTAAAGGAGGACTGGGGGTGTATATATCGAAAGCAATGCGGGTGGTACAGATAAATGAATGTAGGTCTTAACGAGCGACGTTTGGAAAATGGATTATATCATTTGTAGGTAGAAATAGAATGATAGTCTCACCGGTTTGGGAGAGATGAACCGGTGCATGGTAACATCAGCGAGAAAATAGAACGAGCAGACGAGATTAAGGAGCAAAAAGTTGCAAAGGAAGGAGCGAGGGTCGCAATAGAAGAAAAATGCCCAAAGCCAGAAGGAGCCGGAAATGGTCCAGTGGTTGTAACACTACCGGCAGCCTGGTATGGCGAGGTTCACCTCATTTCCGCTTCCGGTAGTATTCCCAAAGCCGCGGCGAAGAGCTCTCACCATTCCCATTCAGAGTAAGAATGGGCATAATTCAAAGGATACGGAGTGAAATCCGCACTCTTGGCTATGGAATGCGCCGGTCATCATATTGGTTACTTGGCAAGAGAAGCATTCCCGATGGTCCATACCATCCAGGCTTGTTGGTTTGTTGACAGGAATGTTATGTCTCCCGAAGATTTCTCCTTCATTTTTGCCATAAGGCGCGTAAATAAGAGGATTATAATGCGCTCTCAAGGTAATTGTGTTTCTCTCTTATCATCTCACCTATTACTCGACAATTCGGCCCTTCAGTCCACGGTAGGGTAAGTACTAAGGAACACAGGCGCCAGGTCGTCTATAGTTCTTCCCCCCCTGAAACTCTTGAAAATCGTTCTTGCCTTGGAAACTAGCACTTTGCTACACTTCTATCGGTTTTAAGAGCAATTTTTCGATTGCCCCCTTCGCTCTACTCTCAGAATCATTCCACCATCGTCACCAGAACTCGACTTACTTCTATATGTCTAGTTAAAGGGTTTACTTCTCAACTTTTATTCTCTTATCGACCTACTGCATTTCGGAATGTATTTCCTGAAACCTCTTATTGCCACCTGGGCGTGTTTGGCCCAAGTCAGTTTGGCAGGTGTGTCGTTCACGAAATGGCCAACTACCGCGTACACTGGAAAGCCATCCACAGTGTACTATCAGGGTGACCCCGACTCTGTAAGTTGTGCAATACCACTTCAAGATTGGAAGTTACTTGTGCTAATAAATTTCCTACTTCAGCCCGCAACAATTACCCTGCGGCAAGGGCCTTCTGGAAACCTCAAAACCCTCAAAGTCCTCACCACGCAGGCAGAAGGAGGCTCGTACACATGGGTCCCTGACGAAGATCTCCCTCCTGGCCCCAACTATGCTTTGCAGATCGAGCAAGATGGCAGTATTAATTACACTGGTCTTCTGAAGATTGCCAATCGACCCGGTCAGAAACATGCAAGGCCGTCAGCTTCCCAGAACACACCTCTTCCATCTGAGAGTACCACTCCTCTCAGTGGTGGGAAAACTGTCCCAAAGGGCAACAATGGCTATCTCCCCGTCCTGAACGGTTCAAGTAATGACACCACCGTTACTTCAAACAAAGGTGCAACCACGGCATCCAATGATGGTGCCACTTCCCGATACATTTCCCCAGAGATGATGCTAGCTGCGTTAGCCGCCATCGCCTATTTTGCTGCTTGAAAATCAGAAGCTACCCAATATTCACAATGTTTTATATTCAGTCCGGTTTTTTTTATAGGACAAGCAGGTTGAGGGTGACAAACGGCGGTGGTAGAGTGTCTGTGGCTACCGTTGTGTATATACTAAAATGGGAGTGGAGCTATTTATACGTGGTTCCAGGCACGGTCTGGCAAGGGATCGAATTGTCACTGCTTTTCAGGGATTTTGTATTGGCTGACAGCCATTGGACTCACCCGGTCGTTCTGCTTTCTTGCTCTTTACCCCTCTGTACGGTTCTTTGCTTTTTGCATCGTTATGTTTCTTAAGTTGCTCCTCTCGCGCTTCCCAAAAGCAAGGGGTTGGAGGACTTCTCTTTACCCTCATTAGTTCAGACTTATCAAGGAAAATGAATTTGATCCTTAATAACGGCATGGCTCCCGGAAATTTCAACTGAGTCAGTACCATGGCGTGCCTGGAAGGAGGGGCCTGGTTTTATTGTTTTGTTGGGTCAGAAGTCATGGTCTGCTTTATTATTAGCGCCCGTCTCCAAGCCTCAGCCCCAAGCACATCCATTATTGTTCAGGTCATTTAATGTGATTGGAGTAGCTATATTTATTTCAAGCTTATTCAGATTTATGCTGCACTCAGCTGCAGTTTATCGTAGCCGCCGCACTGGCCAGTTTCCTCTTTCTCAATCTTTTCCCTTTGGTTTTTAACCCTCCTTTTCCTCTCTCACCAGCATTCTTGTTTTGTATATATTTTCACAATATTGCATAGATTCCTGTTATTTACATCCATCTCTGTATGGATCCAGCCCTAGGTTAGTAGTTCTCAGCCGCGAATGTAAGTTTTCCTATTCAGCCTCTCTCCTGCTTTTCCCACCGCAATTTGATGTCTCGGCAGGATGAGCCAATGCACTCTAAGCATAATGCTAATAACATCATCCTGACAGTAAAATCAAAATAATCATAATTCTCCTGCCGCAGATCCGCTTTTGCCAGGCCCTGCTGTCTCACTTTTGGTATGATTTCAATTTCTCGCGCGCCCATAAAGTTACATTCCATGTTTCCGCTATCGTCCAGTCCTTCATCTCATACCGAGAACTTTTTTGTGTCGGAGGAGTCGGAGTTACTGGCGCGCGATCACTACGTGTACCTTCGTTGTCACCAGCAACTTTAAGGCACCTAATCCCCGGTTCTGCCTATTATCTCCCTATTTTTATCCCCCATTTTGTTGCGCCAAATTGACGGGCCCGTTACCTCTTCCCCATTCTTGATCTTCGCCGCATTCCCCATCATGCCGAGCATAACCCGTTTTGGCCGGGCGAAAAAGTCACCTCAGCCAGACCTCGAGAATGCTAACTCCGCTACCCGAGTGCTAGCTCCATCAGAACCGTTTCGAGCTCCCCGTCTCAGCTTGCTTCATGTCGAAACAGAGTTGAACATGTCACAGCACAATGGTTTGTTCGAGGTGGAGTCTCCCGACCGACAAAAGGGCTCTGGAGTCTCAGAGAATACAACGGGTTGGTCCAACCTTATTACTTTCCCCTTTAGCTCAAAATGACAACTCGCTCATTTATGCCTCCATATTGCCGCAGACACGATTAGTCCGCCGCCGAGCTATAGTAACGGGTCCCCCGATCCTACAAATGGTGATGTGACAACAACAGAATGGTCCTCCGCTGTCGGGCACGCGGCTACTGGGAAATCAGGTCGTGTCATACATAATTTACAGGAGGACATTGCGCGCTTGACCCGTGAATGTAGTGTTTACCGCTCCCGCGCCGAGGAAACCCAACGGATGAACGAAGCTTTCAAGACGCAGGTGCAGAATATGACCGATCGCCTCCAGAACCTCGAACACTCGAATGAAATCAGCCTACACTCACTCTCAAAGAAGGAGAAAAAGATCGAGGAGCTGCGCGCCGAGCTTCAAAGTGAAAGAGATCGACGGCAACAAGCGGACAATGAGAAGGCCAGGTTTCAAGGATTGATGGATGAAGCCCAGGACGATTTTCATAGGAAATGTGCCGAATTACAGGAGATCGCACTTCACCACCAAACTCAGTATGACGTTCTGGCGAAATCCGGGCAGCGTGAACGTGCGGACCAACAGCGCAGGCTGAAAGGCATACGGGACGAATTCGTTGCATTGAGAGAAAAACAGGACCAAACGAACTCGCGGGTAGAGAAGTTGGATACCATTAAGGCACAAAAGGATCGAGAAATTGAAGCCGCACAAAAGGATTTCCAAACTTTATTCAAGCAATATGAGGAATACCGGCGAGCCCACGATGAGGAAGTGAGGGGTTTGATTGAACGAGGCCACCAGGGGGAAGCGAGGTTCAACGCAGCCCTCGCATCCTTGAAAGAAACGGAAGGGCATATGAAATGGGTCTTACAGGTCAAACACGAAGTCGACGGCGCCGAATGATCCGTTGTACCACTCCACAAATACACAAATACCCCAACGCGTCTTAACCAAACGGAGCTTTTCACAACCAAGGACCTAGTATCAACTTGGCCTCCGGTATGTTGGAATTTACCCTGCTAATCTAGCGTCAGCGAAGCATATAAACGACGATTTTAATTCTCCCGTCGCAACGCCCGGTGAGATTATTGTATATTAACAACGGTTTGCCGTGTCTCTCTTCGTTTCATTTCCTGCGGATATCTGGCATGGTTGGAGTTCGGGATTTCTTGATACCCTGGGAAATTAGTATAGACAGGGTGTTTCTTTGTTGCTGCTCAGCATTTGGGACACTCATCACAACGCATTTAGAGCTTAATAGACATCCTATAATCTTGACATTTTGGCATAGCCAGTCCCCACTTTATGAGCTGTTTTTTGGGGAGGAGGCATGGCAACTGGTGGGCCAGCCATGCAGTTCCTATTCACAGACATCGTAAAGATGAAGGTGAGTGACTGGTGCTTCTGGATTACAATCCTCTGCATTTGCTTATAGTTTCTTTTTCTAGGCCGCGGTAGGATGCATATATCGTGTGTTTGCCTTGCCGTCTTCCATTCCACTCTTCCAAAACTGTTTGAATGTCTCACTGGCTCCGTCACCAGTCATTCATGCCATGTTGAAGTTGGTAGTAACATTGCCATAGTGACTAAACTCTGGTGTCCTTCCACAGTCTCTTGTGTCTCCTTCTCTTTCTCCTCTCTTCCCTCCCGTCCTCCCCAGCTCCTTCCTCTTTTTTCCCTTCCTCCTTCTCCCCATTCCCCTACTGTTAACCCCATCACGCCCTCAGAAGAAACAATATTTCCGCTGCTCTCCTCTCGCCTTGGATCTTCTGGGTTGCCTTCTCAAAAAAACTTGGTCTACTGAAAAGTAAGGATTGGCCAATCACGCCCAGTTCCTTCAACAAATACACCCAACGTTAAGGTGCCGGCTTTGAGACTCCTGGCTTTGTTCCACGTGTGTTGGCGTTCTTTCCGAAACTGACGAATTTTGAAGTCATGGATCTCCTGAAGAAACACTTGTCATTTGCATGCATGCACGCCTTCGAGGATATCGGAGTAAGCCACTGTTCAGTATTGTTCGAATTGATAGCCTGCTAACCAAGCCTTGTTTAGGTCCAAGAACTCGAAGAGGAGTTGCAGTATGCTATGTCCCAGGATGTGCTGCTCTGGTTAATTCACTAACAACCCCTGCTCCAGCCGCAAGATTCCGCAAGCAGAGTGTCATTGCGAGTATTCCTGCTCTGAAGATGTAAGGTCTCACTCCCTGCGCATATATAACCAATTTCTGAGCGTTTTTATCCTTTTCGTTCAAGGTACTCGTCATTAAGGGCAAACTTGAAGGGCATATTGTCGCCATCTCTGCTGTGATTTCTTCTTTCATCGAAAAGCAAAAGAGCAAGGACTTGCTGGATGTAAGTTGGGAGCGTCCTTCTATATAGTCCTTAACATACTAACCGGAAGTCTAGACACCCCGCCTTCGCGTGTTGGATCTGCCGTCAGTAGTACAAAATACTTCATCCGCAGTAGATGATCCCCAATGGGTTGGTAATGGAGGCCTCCTGACCCTGGACGATGACACGGGAGCATTCATACCTCACCCTCGGACTCAAATCACCAAACTTTGGCTGTCATCTGTCGGTGGTGTAGGTTGTTTTGCCGCCAATATGTATCAGGAGATGCTTGGAGAAGTTGCAAAAGGTACCGGCACAGATATAACTGTCCTTGACGAGCTAAAAGGTCTACAAGTCTCGGGTGGCAGAGAAACTGATGTAGATGACGCATTAGCAAAGCTTACACGGATTGAAGCCCCTCTGGTACCCAAGGTCGAATCCCTCAAAATTCGCTTTTCTAACACACATTCTAGTTACTTCTTGACAACCCAATCATTGCCAACATTGCAGTTGACCAACTTCAAGAAGATTCTGGATACAGGATTCAGCCATATGCTGCCTTAGGCCCAGTGGCTGTTCGTCGAATTCTCGCCGATCCATCTTTTGGCATCCTAGGTCAAATGTTCGTTACCGTTTTCTATTCCTTCGACGAGGACTATCAAAAGTATATCCCGCCACCGAACCTGGTAGAACCCCCTCTCTGCAACAGTGAAAACGAGAATTCCCGCATTTGGAGTGATTTTTCGTTCCAGCCGTTAGGCAAAGCGGATGATTTTCTGGCATTAGAATCAGTGATGGAAAACAGTCAGGATGAATGTCAGCCATTGCCACTAAAAGACATAACCGGCCATCCCTATCTCTCTCCGGAGAAGGCAAAGCAAGTTAATGAATGGGTCGTACCAGCAGCCTCGATGCTCGACCCATCCACAAGCCAATCACCGGAAAGTGTTGTGTCGCGTCAACTCGAATCCCTATCACAAAGACCTACAGGGCACACCAGTCTCAAGGCACCTGGTATCAAAGTGCGACGACCAGTACAGCCTTCTCAAGTGGATTCGACCTCGAAAACCCAAAGCGTGCCACTTGAAGTTGCCTATTCTGAATCACAGGTAGAACCAAGTGGCAAAATAATATCAAACACACCTCGAAAAAAATGGAAAATGAAATACGAGCCAAATCTGGGTAGCTCTGATGCCCCCCAGTCTTCAGGTATCCAAGTTGAGAAAGATATTGGCAATCGTAAACCCCTCGAGAAACCCGTCATTTCGAATACCCCGAAGCCGGAAGGCACCTCACACGTCCCTATAAAATCCGACTCCACCAAGTACGGTTTGAATATGTGCCCAACAAAAGCGATCAAACCTGACATTGCCCATACGAAGGCCGAAAAAGGTGGTCGAAACAAGCAAATGATAAGAAGCAAACCACCCAAAAAGGATGAACTAATTGACGTACGGACGCCGGTCAATGCGACTCGATTGGACCATCCTCCTCTTCTGTTCAATACACCTGCACTCATCCCCGAACCCTCAATGTCTGTTACTGGAACACCAGAACCTGCTGATGCCTCTGGAAAACGCCCTATAACATCCCTCGGTACACACTTTACTGATCTTGCTGGATTGAACATTGCTGGGGCCACCGATGTTGGCGAATCAACCAGTTCAATGTCAATGCGAGATAGTTCTTCAAGTAAATCTAATTTTCCCGAGCAGGACACGAGACTACAAAAGTTGAAACTTGCATATGATAATCACCTGTCATCAACCGTCTCAAAAAGCTTTGTCAAACCGCGCAAGCGCCGCGGGGATGTCAATAGGTTGCTCGAAAAGCAAGTCATAGATGACTATGAAAGGTCTCAAAGGTCCGAAGCTGAGCAGTCTGTGCGGGAAACAGATAATAGGCAGTACCATCAGATTATGAATCAAAAAGCGGGAAAGCCTGCCCAGAAATCGAAGAGCAAAATAGCATCTGCGGCCAAAAAGCAGGCCACCCTCGAAGACGCTTGGGGCATGCCAAAGCAGAAGAAGCGGCTCGGATCCTCGAAAACGCAGAACCCGTCTATAAAGGGTGATTCTGTGGTTCCAGCAACAACCGAAACGGAGCAAAAAGCGAAGCGAAATGTGGGCGAAGACATTGAGCGCGTGTTTGCGGCAATGAAGCCAATGCTTGAGGCCGCCGAGGCATTTCCCGGCATGCTAGCGCTCGAGGTACAGCTGGGGCTTGTTCTTATCCCGTTTGTTCCCAAAACGTCTGGTGATAAATTAATATCGTTAAGCGAATGGTCAAGAATCTTCCAGCTTCAATCTGGATTGACCGCGCCGAGTACCAAGTTTGTGAACAGACTGACAGCTTGTGGTGCCGAGATTGACCGAATTGTCGACCTCAAAACCTCTAAATCTGTAGGACGATCGCGCTTATTCCAGCAAGAATATAGCGAGTACGAAATTTGCTATGAGTTCCACTGTCGAACAAATGCCAATGAACTGCTCATCATCGCTGTTGATGAACAAGGCGGCTATACAATTCAGACTCCGAAATCGACCATTGGAGCGGTAAATATGCACTTTCCCCGGAAGGTATGGGATGCTAGGGCAGTTCTTTTTGTTCAGAACCGGCATGATTCTCCGGAAGTTGAAGAAGCTGCAAAGTACCTCGCAGACCATATTTGGATCCCGGCTGAAAAGTCTATTCGTGTTCACACCACGCTCCCAAAGGGCAGCAAGATTGCTATCCAAAAGGTGTTCATGAAGCGCTGGACTCGCCATCGGTACTGTCGTACCGACGAAGCCTTGGGCCGTGAGCACAAAGCAAGCGAAGATCACGATATTTTCCTTCAAGTTATGGAGGTCCAAGATCTCTTCATTGGCACCGTAACCCAGGATTTGTCGGAAATGGAGTATATCAGAGCCCGCTATACGAAACCGGAAGAAATGGTCTGCAGGGGTAGAGTTTGGTACGAGCTTTCACTTGTCAGCCCTGCTATCGAGACTATTTTGAAGACCAATATGAACCTCGAGGTTGGTGAGCGCACCGAGGACTGGCGTGGTCCGGATTTGTTTGGAAATACTGCTGCTTTCTTCACTGGACAACCCCCAAGCCCAGTAGCAACGGCAATCGGCTCTGCTGGAATCGCTGAACTGTGCCAAATTGCAAAGGAAGTTGTACACAAGATGGACGGAGTTGGAACCTGTAATCGTGGCCCAATGAGCGCCGAAACGCAGCGGGTTCCCGTGATTAACAGCCAAGGGAACAAGGGTTGGAGTCATGAAGATCTCGAGAGTGCCAAAGAGGTGGAAAGCGTAGTTGCAAGAATGAACGAAGGTCCAATGGATGTTGCAGTCATCAAAAGAGAGCAGGCAGAAAGGGGATTTTGGTAGCCTGCGCTTACGATTTGTTTGAGATGGAGAGACAGCTCGACCATAGTTCTAATTCTGAGGATCTAGTGAATGAGGAATACACCATCTGCCGTTGCGAAAATCAACTATTCCTTTTAAATAAAGCCTGATAACGATATAGGTATATAAGTATGTATAAATTTCTGTGCCCCTATAATCTGCTGCCGCAACAAACACCGCTGAAAGGCGTTGCAGCAAAATGACAACAGCGCTCTAAGCATTTGTTCCAGGAACGATCTTTCTTTCTTTCTTTCTTTCTTTCTTTCTTTCTTTCTTTCTTTCTTTCTTTCTTTCTTTCTTTTGTTTAAACGCACATGGTCCACGCTCAATCATCATCCTCGTCCACAGCATCAACCCCCCTCAACCAAGCCCCCCTGGCATCAACAGCAGCCTTCCGTACATCACGCTTTGGGTCATCAAGAACAGACCCCAAAGCTCGAAGCACCTGGTTCCGCACCGGTAGAAGAGGCGACGCTTTCCCGCTCTTTGCAATAGCAGGAGCACCCTCCGCATTGGGCGGTTGCGCCAGTAAGAACAAGCATCTGAGCGCGTCAACACGAAGTCGTGGTGGGTTTATCTTTACATCTTCTCCATCGCTGGTAGACTTGTGCTCGGCTGTCTTGAGGAGCCTCGAAACAAGGCTTTGAACGTGTCCGCATTCGTCTATGACTGTGACACCACTCTCGCGGATTATGATGGCAAGCGTCTGCAGCGTTGCGGCTCGGACAGCTTGGGAACCTGCTGTTTGGAGATCAAGGGATTGTAAGAGAAGTGGGAGGAGGGTGGGAAGCTCGGGCATGACGAGGGTGGCGGAGATGGTTGATAAGATTCCTGAGAGGGCTGTTAGGTGTGCGGGCTTGATGTGTCCTGTTGTCGATGCCACCGCAGTAGTATCGGCGTTGTTTGTGACGTTTATTTCACGAATCTTGGAAGAGATAAGTGGGATTAGTGTTGTGAAGACGCGCTGTTTTGCCAGGAGGCGGATGTTGGCGCCGTTTGTGGTGGAGAGGACGTCGTCATCTTTGAGAAGGATGCCAAACCCGCGGGAAGCTGTTGTGCTTGTTTTTTCAGAGGGAGAAGACAGGAGGGCTAAAAGGGAAGTCAGTATTTGGGTTGTTGTAGGAGCGAGCCTGAGAATGAGGGCCTTGGAGAGCCAGAATATCGTCTTGATAACACCTGGGCTTTGAGACTCTGTGGCGGCGATTTCAGCAGGGAGAAGGGAGTCGAGTAAACTGGTTGCCACCCCAAGCTCTGGTTTGAGAAGGAACTTGTTCACTAGGAGTGCAACATGGCGAAGGATAGCGATCTGGGTTGGTGGTTCGGCTTCGTTTACCGAGAGCTTCACGGTGTTTGAGAGAAGCTCGGAAATCCCATGAGGTAGAGTAGAGTCTGCTGGTAGACCGGCCAGGAGGTAAGTCGACAGGATCATTGAGCGTCGCTGGTCGGCTGACGATTGCGCGAATGGGACAGGCTGGAAGTCACCAGGAGAAGCGAATAAAGTGTAAATGTTTTTCGTAACTTCATCCTGTTTTGATCTTGGAAGGGCTCTCACTATAATGTTACATAGCCTTCCCAAAATGTCCAGAACCGTAGGATCGCACAGGACGTTATTGACTGCTTTAGCTGAAGCTGCTGCGGCTGCGCACTGGCACATAGCAACCACTATTTTGTCATAATACATATCCAGACTCGAGTCGCCTTCCAGTTTCCTCTGGTTCATAACATAGAAGATCGTCAAGAGGATCGCTCTTGGATAGGCAGCAGATCCTGCCTGTTCCTTCTGCAGCAGTAGCGACAATTTAGTTAGCAGTCGGCGTACCAATGTCTCGAAAATGGCCTTCTCAACGCTTATCTGTGCCAAAGTTTCGAGAGTCGGAAGGTAGTTGGCTTCCGTCCCTTCATCAAAGTCAGGGAGCGTTGCCAGGAAGGCTGGAAAAGTAATGTCCATTATTAGCCGTGGCTGATACTTTGAGATTTCAGCCAGCGCGGCGATGGCTTCCTTTTTCAAGTCATCGCGCTCGATTGACTCTTCTTTTAAGAGAATCTCGTTGAGATATTGCACAAATAAACCAATCTCGGAATAATGGAAGTAGTCGCGCAAGGCTGACAGGCGCAGGAAGCCTCTTAAAGCAGAGATACGGAAGGAAACCTCTTCTTTAACTGTGCCCATCAAGGCCTGACCGAATATTTCCGAGAATTGGTCTTTGAACTCAATTAGAGGATTCTCAGCAGATACGTCAGGATCTATCGTTTTCCAGTCCCCGAATACTGCGATTGCGGATTCGAAGAGTAATGTTAATGTTTCCAGAAGGGCACGCTGTTTTGTGATCCCGTCGGCTCCCTGGTAAAGTGTCAAGAGAGGCGCAACGACAACCTGCACAATGAGGGCGAAGGAGGCTGCAGAAGCCTCGGATACGGCTTTTAGAATCTGCTGAGCGGGTTTGGCCTGTTTTTGCTGTGGCTCTCGCAACTGCTCATTACATTCTTTAGTTATCGGCTGTAGGTACTGAGCCAGAGGCAGCTGATCCGATATTTCCGTCACGCCCTCCGACAAACGTTTCGCTATATCATGCAAAGCCTTAAGTGAAAGTTCAGATAGAAATTCTTCTTGGGCGTTCAAGATCTCAAACTTCAGAGTCTCCCATATCGTGATTGAATATGTTGACACGGTATCCGCGTTATATGAATCGATACAGGCGATTAACGCGTTGAGTGCATCTTTCTGTAAACTTATTAGAGCGCAATCGATGAAAACACGGGGTACATAACAATAGAATACCTTAACATTCGGGGAAGTTGAATCCAGCTTATCCAACAATGACGGGATAGCATGTGGAGCGAAGTGACTCGTCGAAGAAATGCAGTCCTGCAAGCGGTCTTTCAAATCTTGTGCGGTGATCCCATAGGGATCATTTGGCGGTGGCCTGAATGTGATAGGAAAGTAGTTGTAGACAGAATCAAACAAAACCTTTCTTAGTTAGTTGCTATGTCAAGACCATTGGAATTAGAAAAAGAAAGCCTACCTCGACATGGTTTGAAATGTCCCATTCAACCATGATCACCTTCAAAATAGAAAAAACCAGCATAAGATTGCGTGGGTCCTTCTCGCCTGTCATGAGATCAACTGTCCCAACAAGAGATGTATCGCCCATTTCGTGCAAGACTAGCCAGTTAGCATAGGAATGCAGCAAAGTGACGTCGCGACGTACCGGCTCGGTGATTGGACATGAGTTCATTTAGCAACTGGTAAACCTGGAATCTTTGCGATTGAGCACGAGATTGCAGGGAACTAAAGTTCGCAAAAAGTCTGTATACCGCACATTAGTCCTTGTCGCTCCAGGCGCGGGGTTATATGGGCCATTGGCCGCCATCCGCACAGAAGACAGAATAGAGAGCACTTACGCCATCGCCAATTCCGCGGCCATGCTCTTTGTAAACCTATCCGACTTCTGTAATGTCTCGAGTCCAGCGATAGCACCTCCATCTTCAATACGGTCACAAAAGAACGTCGTCAGGACCTGAACTTGTTGTCTCGTGAGGAACTTCGCAGGAAGGGATTTAATCACTGCGGTCAGGAACGAAACGGCCTTGCCCCGGAGGAGTGGATCCTCGTCATTGATATATTCTCCTAGCGACTGTACGATTTCAACGAGGGTCGTCTTCTTGCTCTCCACATCTATGCCACAGGGCATTAGCGCACGGCGCCCCCAGTATCAGTTCGTGGAGGGGTATTACCTTGAGCAACTCGCTCGGCAATCTGTCTAGCTTCCTGTTTATCATGGTCAACGACCAGCATGAACGTCTGCAAGGCCGACATTTTCACGATCAACCTTAGCAACGACGCGCAGGAGCAATTGAAACACCCATGATGCTTTTTGTGGTCTCCAAAGGCCCTTATCGATATGTCACGTGCAATATCCCACTTTCAGTGCTCCGCGGAATCACGTGGGGGTAGTCGCATGGCGAAGGGGGTGTTGCGTCATGGAATTCGCTCATCGAGCAGATCGAGCTGAACAAGAAGGGCTGACAAGACGTCAGTTTCCCAGAAAGTCAACTTAACATGCGGCATTTCTCAACTACAGTGACCTTTATTTTCCTCGTCTTATACTGTACAGTATCGGAGGCGTGGGGTTTACCATCTCTCTCTTTACGGAAACGTATTCCGCAACCACTACTTAACAAGCCCCGTACAGGCCACGAGCGAAGCTTAGAGGGCCTTGACGGTATCAGAGAGTGGCTCAGCCATCAAGAACCACTAAGCGGAGCTGCACTCGAACACTCCGAGGGAGATCTCAAGATGCAAAGTGGTAGCCATGAACCCGTTATATCTGATGTCCTGCCCAAGACCCGCGGTATCAATATCTTCTCGTCGCTCACTCGACAGTTTGAGTCCGTGGAAGGCCGCTTGAATGACTCGTCGCGGAGTGTAACAGTCCTGGCGCCTCGCAATAGCGCTATCCAAGACCTCCCTCGCAAACCTTGGGAAAACCCTGAGGATTACGAGAAATTTGGAGAGATAAAAGCGTATGAAGGCGATGAAGGACAAGATCGGGCCAAGCACAACCTAGAACGGTTTGTCTCAGCTCATATTGTTTTGCAGAGTCCATGGAAAGAGGGGGAGGAAGCGGAGACCCTTGGGGGGGATAAGCTAAAGTGGAAGAAAGATGGAGATAGGATATATGTGAGCATCCCTTTGTTTTCTTCTATTTGTGGTTTAGTGGTCAATGTTCACATGCTGACTGACATCTCTAAGATCGAGCCAAGTGGTATTCAAGTTGAAACTATCGCAGAACAAGTCTCGAATGGTGAGGTGTGGACACTGAACGGTGTTCTCAACTATTCCCGCTGATGGGTGTGCAATGGAGTATGTGACTATATGAAATGGCTATGGAAGTAATTCTTGCCTATATATCGCTTCCAATCATTCTGTACATCTGGCTAGTAGTCTGGCATAGTTGTATAACCGTAATTTTCTATATCCT